CCCCGCTGGGATCACAGGCATGCGCCACCACGCCTGGACTCGGGCAGGGCCAGGGCCAGCGTACCCTGGTCTCTGCGCTTGCCAAAGCAGGCACTTAGTCCACTGAGCTATCTCGCCAGCCCAGGTTTGGGGTTTTTTAGAGACAAGGTTTTAGTATGTGTTTCAGACTAGCCTTGAACTCCCTGAAAATAAGACCATATAATAATGAAACACGGTCCTATAATAATAATTTTTGGTCAAAAAGATGCAATAGGGTTTATTTTCAGGGATGTATTATTTTTTCATGAACAAAGCAATCTACATTTATTCATTTGTTCATGTAAGAAAATCCACGTTCACTCAGGTACAGTTGTGTCGCCCCTGGAACCACCCTTGTGACTCAAAAATGAGGCAGGCTCGAAAAGAAAAGAGACGCTTTATTTTAGCTGGTACCCAGCAACAGACACCCCAGCAAGACGCTGAGGTGCATGCAGGGAGGATGAGGGGAGTGGGTATTTAAGCCAGTAAACCACAAAAGCTGACGTCAAGGGTTCATATAGGGGCTACAGTTGAAAAATTACCTGTTTCTAATGAACAATAACAGGTGCAGTGGTGGGTACAGTTTGTAGCTGGGAATGAGGGCAAGAACAGGCATTGGGCCGGAACTAGATTCAGGTGTGCACAAAGGACAGCGTGAGAAAGGCCCAACTGCAGGTTCTCAAGTAGAGAGCGGGGCACAGTGGAAAGTTACAGCATTTAGAATGGCGCATACAGAACAAGATGGCGGCGCATATGTCAGGTTATAACAGTTAATAAGGTTACAGTGGAAGCATACAGAGTTACAAAATTGGAATCAGTTGCACAGGTTATAACAACCCTTGCTCTCCAAGCCTGAATTCCAGCCTGAGATGCTTGCAGCTCCACTTTCTGTAGAACCGCTGGCCCAACCTCTCCTGTCCAGCAGCAGAGCCATCCTTGCATGAGCGCTTCCTGTCCCCGGGTCCCGCATGGCACATCAGTGACAGCCTGTTCCTTTCGTTCTAGGCCCTGCGCCTAGGTGGGATCCAAACACATTTGTTCTCTTGTGCTAGCCTGTTTCATTTGGCAGAATGTTTTCAATATTCGACCTTGGAGGGGCGGCCAGATAGCTCAGCGGACTAAAGCATCTGCTTAGGCAGAAGCAGGAACCAGGGTTCTATCCCTGGTGCGCCATGCCAGTCCCGCCCCCAGGGTGCGCTGAAACTGTGACTGAGACTGGGTGTGGTGGCGCGCACCTGGAATCCTGTGCTTGGGAGGCTGAACACAGGAGGATCACTACAAGTCCATTCCGTGCAATGAGACCCTGTAGACCTTGTAGACCCTGTACAATAGATAGATAGATGATAGATAGATAGATAGATAGATAGATAGATAGGACCTTGGGATGTGTGCCAAGCTTTTCCTTGTCTAAAGGGGGCATAATGCTGCACTGCCCCCAGAAGCCCTGCTTTGTTCCCCATCATCCCCTCACTGAGGGGTGTGCTTTCCTTTTTTTTTTTTTTTTTTTTTTTTGCAGAACAGGGACTGAACACAGGCACTTGCGCTTGCCAGGCAAGCGCTTATTCTACGGAGCTACCTCCCTGGCCCCCTTCTCTCCTCTCCTGACTGCTGTGAATAATGCTGCTCCAGGATACAAGTGGGCACTTGTCTGAGTCTCTGTGTTCCATTCTCTGGGGAGTACACGCGCCTAGAAGTGGAACTTGGGCGTCCCGTACTTTCCTCTGTGTGATTCTTTGTGTTTTGGTATTAGAAATCAAACTCACAAACTTGTGCTTGCCAGGCAGGCGCTTGTGCCACTGAGCTCTGTCCCTAGCTTCATGTGTGATTCTTTTTTTTCTTTCTTTTTTTTTTTTTTTTTTGGTATTTTAGGGAAGGGTCTACAGGGTGTTCAGGGTCTCAGTACTAGATCGCACTCATAGTGATCTGCCTGTTTACAGCCTCCCAAGAGCTGGGATTACAGACACGTGCCACCACGCCCACTGGCGTCCCAGCGTGCTGGGGGGAGCAGCAGGCAGGCCCCTGTCCCTGCTTGCAGGCGCTTTAATCCGCTATTTGGCCAGCCCTATATATTTTAGATCCCTTAGCAGGTATGTAAGCTGCAGTGCTCTCTCCCGCTCTGTTTATTGCCTTTTCACATGGAGACACAGGATTTTTTACTCTCAGCGAAGCCCAGCTTTTAGCTCTGCTGTTGGCGCTTGCTGCCCGCAGGTCCATGAAATTTGCCCACCTTGTCGTCTTCAAAGAGTGGCCCTTATGTTTAGGTCTCTGAGTCATTTTCATTTCATTTTTGCACATGGTAAGGGTCCCCCTTCGTCGTTTTGCATGTTGATGTCCTCCCCGCCCCAGTCTCATCAGAGAGACTGTCCCTGCTCCCAGTAAGCATCCTGTGGTCACCTACGCGTTTACATCCAGGATCTCTGCTGTTCCCTTGGTCTAAATATCAACAAGCAGACCACTTGATTACTGTAGTTCTGTTGTTTCGTTGCTGTTGCGGCCATTTCTCAGAGCTGGGCATGGAACCCAGAGCTCTGAACTTGCTCTGGCACCAGGCCGGATGCTAAGACAGGCACGCCATGCTGGCCAGGCTGGCCTCAATCTCCGTCTCCTGCCTCAGCCTTCTGGACAGCTGGGATTACTTGTACGCACTAGAGAGTGGCACCATGCCCGCAGTGATTGTTTCGACACCAGAAAGTGACAGACTTCCAAATTTGCTCTTTTTCTTTTTCTTTTATTTATCTTTTTTTTTTTTTTTTTTTAAGTATTTGGTACAGGGTCTACAGGGTCTCACTACACTGCTCAGACTCATAGTGATCCTCCTGTTTTCAGTCTCCCTAGTGCTGGGATTCCAGGCGCGCACCACCACGGCCAGTCTCAGCCAGCTGTCCCAGCGTGCCCTGGGCATGCTGGGGACTGAACTACTGAGCTATGTGGCCAGCCCTCACATTTGCTCTTTTTCAAGGTTATATCCACCACTGGGCTCTCATGAAGTACGGTATGAGATTTTAGGATGGACTGTTCTGTTTCTGCAGAAAATTTAGCATCAGGGTTTGATAGGGAATCTCTAAATTAGGTAATATTGGTATCTTGTAACAATATAATGCTTTCTAATCTTTAAGTGTCTTTTCGCTTACTGGAGTCTTTTGGTGGTTTTTAGCAACACTGTATAGTTTTTAAGCTATATGCTTTTTTACTCCTTGCTAAATTTATTCCAAAGAACTTTATTCTTTTTTTTTTTTTCTGAGACAGGGTCTCATCATGCAGTTCAGGCTGGCCTTGAACTCACTATATAGCCCAGGCTGGCCTAAAACTGCTGGCACTCCTCCTGCTTCAGCCTGTAAGAATTTTATTCTTGTTGCTATTACAAATGGAATTGTTTTCTTTTTTCTTTTTTTTTTCTATTCATTAAGAGAATGCAACTATATATTTATCCTAACCACTTTGAATACACAGATACAAAATGGACATTCATCGGTATACCCCATTTTTTCTAAGTTCCGTTATTGAATATTATAGGTGTGCAAACTCAGCAAAATATTCTTTTTGTTTTTTTTTTAATTAATCTTTCAGTTTTATTTATTTATTTATTTATTTTGTGTGTGTGTGGCCAGCTCAGCCCACCAGGGGGCAGGGCTGGTTGGCATGTGGTGCTGGGGGATTGAACCGCAGTCCCTGTGTTTTGCTTAGCTTAGCTTGTTCTAAGTAGGTGTTTTAGACCACTGAGCCATCTCACCAGCCCTCAGCAAAATATTCTAAAAGAGTCCAGTATACCATAATAGCCTTGGGTCTTCTGTTTAACTGGCAATGTCAGAAATTATTGACCTGAGTCCAAAATAGAATAAGGACTTTTTTTTTTTTTTGCTCCTTGAATGCCTTCAGGGCACTTTTGCATGGCTGGAGTGTTGTGGGGATCGAACTACAGCAAACTGAGGCTGCCAGCATTGTGGAAGCAGCCACTTAAAGAACGGAGCTAGGGCTGGGCCCCCTTGTTTTCTTTTCTTTTTGGCTTATTCGTTGTTAGTGGAGAGAGACCTGGGGCTCGGGGTGTTGGGCTTGTGCCCTGAGCCTCTGTGGACCTATCAGTGCTGACAGTTTTGTCCCCCACCCCGGAATCCACCCATTCTGCTTTCATCCTTCCCTGGAGGCCAGGCAGGAAGTGTGCTGAGCTCTGCCAGAGCCGGCTTCTCTTCCAGGCCCCGCTCATTGAGCCGCTGGCCGCGAGAGCCCTCCCCAACCTCAGGAGCACAGGCCACAGCCACCCACAGCCAGGCTCGGTCCCTGTTCTGCAAGGTCATCGAGGTGCAGCGCTTGGCCACTACCTGTTTCCGTCCGTGTCCTCCCCTCAGAGCGCCGTCTCCCTCGGCTCTCACCCTCATGCTATTCTGATTCCCTTCTCTCTCTCTCATTTTTGCTCTTTGTTTTCTTGAGACAAGGTTTCACTACGTCCCCTGGGTGCATCTAGCCTGTGACGATGGCCTTGAACTTGTGGCAGTCTTCCTGCCTCGGCCTCCCGGTGCTGGGATTACAGGCATGCGCCACCACACCTGGCTGCCCTCTTAATTTGAGAAGCAGACGGATTCCAAACAGGGGGTCCCAGCACCTCATTTCTGAATGAACACCTCAAGCAGTGCTTTCACAGAGCATGTAGAAGCCAACACGGGCTATGGCCAGGGTGGGAAGCACCAGGGGCCTCCTCCCTGGGGCACTGGAGCCAGCCGAGGCCATGCACACGAAGCTTGCTGTCTGCCATGGGATGCCAGCTGCCGTGCTGGTTCCCAGGGGAATGACCCCCTCTCTCCATCCTCTCTCAGCCCTGGGAAGCAGGTGCTGTGAGCGCCACTGATTCCTGTAGGAAAGGAGCGAGGGGCAGACCCACTGTCCCACCCCAGCCCTTATCTTCCTCTACCCTTCTAATCTGTCCTAGTCCTCAGGAGCCAGGCTTCCTCTTCCTTCTCTGTCCCCAGCACCCAGTGGGCGTGACCTGAGGCTGCCCACCACAGCTGTGCAGATGTTCTGGGCTCACAGCTGGAGAAGGACCTCGGGACTCACACAGCACTTGGCCCGAGCCCCCGCCACTGAGGGAAAGGAGGCTGCTGCCAAGGGCTGGGGAGTGGACTCCTCTCTGGTCGGGACCCAAGGCACCAGCGCCACCGAGACATTGTGTGAGCTGGGCTGGGCCTCAGACACAGCCTGGGAGGTGCCGGCATGGGAAGGGCTTTAAATCCAGCTGTCGCCCCGGGCGGGAGAGGCAGAGTGGGCTGGCCACCATGCACGGCTCCTGTGGCCTCTGGGCGCTGCTTCTGCTGCTAGCCACCGCGGGCCCCACCACAGCCCTCAAGGAGGATGAAAAACAGCTGATGGTCCAGCTGCACAACCTCTACCGCACCCAAGTGTCGCCACCCGCCTCGGACATGCTGCAGATGGTGAGTATGGTGGGTGCCTGGGGAGGCCAGGGGATACCTGCACACCCGTGCCAGCCTCCCCGAGACTCAGAGCTGGTGAGACTCCCTGACACTGCATAGTAACATGCAGGCCCCAAACAACCCCATAATACAGATGAGGAGACTGAGGTTCACAGTGACCTACATGCCCTGAGAGGGGACACCTCTGTAAAGGGGTCCCTCAGAGGCCCTCATAAGGCAGGTAGAGGCAAGAGGAGAGATCTGGGGACCAGGACAGGAGGGAGATGTTCCAGCGAGCATGACCAGAGCAGAGGGGGTGCTGCACCCCACCATTCCAATTCTGCCTCTGTCACCATTGAGACCTGTGAATCTGGGATAAGTGCTGTGACCTTGGTTACTCTTAGCTTGTCATCTGTGAAATGGGGGCATGATCTGACCTAAGCGTGGATCCACACAGACTGAATCTCACAGACTGTGTGGGAAGGGGGCTGTGTCTGAGAAAACAGAAGCCAAACGTGCCCTTTGTCTGCCAGGAAAGGGAATGGGCAGACGGTGAGAAGGCGCATGCTCCCATGTGCGGAGGGTAGAAGCCACATTCAGGGGAATCACCTGTTCTGGGTCGCCAGGCATCTGAGGACAGGCTGGGCTAGGAGGGAAAGGGAGAGGTTCACCCCTTCCTGCCCTGAGGTCTGAACCCTCAGCTGGCCTGAGATACTGATGGACCAGGTTAGGCAGCTGGTGCCCAGGGGCAGAGACCTAAGCCTGGGTCCCAAGACCTCAGCCCTACATTCAGGCCAGTCCCTCAGCCTTAGGGACCCTGGGGCTCCCACTCCCCTCAGAGGCCTCCTGAGCTGGTCCAAAGATGGGTGTGGTGAGCCCTGCTCTGGAGCCAGACAGGATGGCTGGTGGGGACCCCGTGGGCACTGGCACATACCAAGCGCTGCTACCCCATCTTTGGCCTGGGTGACCAGGGACTGCAAACACCAGCCTGGGAGCCCTGGAACACCTCCGTGACAGCCCGGGACACTGGACTGCAGTTTCCCCATCTGCAGACCCTGAAGCCCTAAGGTCCGGCTGGCTGAGGAGGGGGCTTGGTGACACTGTGGCAAGCAGCAAGGACGTTGGGGACCCTGCTGCTGCTGTGGGAAGGGGTGTCCGGAGAGGCTTCCCATCTGGCCCCTGCCTCTTCCTAGCCTCTGTCCTCAGTCTCCTGCTCTGTAAGTGGAAGTGACAGCCATAGGGTCAGATGGGTGAGCACCTGTGAAGAGCCTGGAGCAGCGGCCGAGACACAGGAAGCGAGTGCTCCGTGTGGGACCGCTCTGCAGCAGATGCGCCCCTCTCTGGGCCTCCACCCCCAGCCACCACCACCACCTCCCAGAGGGCTCTGTGCGGCACAGACCACAGACCTCCTTGCCCATTCCGTGTGCTCCTTGACACAGTCCAGCTCCCACCTTCCAGTGCAGAATTTAGGGACTCCTAGGATAGCCCCCACCTGTTCCTGGACTTCTGGGTCCCCGTGAACTTGACTGCCAGAACGAACGATCCAACCTGTGAGCTGACCCTGCTCAAGATCCTTCGGTGGCTCCAACCAGCTTCCCACCATCAGGGCACAACTCCCAGGAGGCCGTGTCTTCTGCCTGGTTGCTCCAGACTCCTTGCCCAAGCGGAACGGTCGCCTCTGCCCACACAAGCTCCTCTTCCCAGCTGCAGGCCTTGCTGTGTGCACCTTCCACCTCTGCCTCTGCCACAGCTGTGTCCCCTCCTCTGACCGCAGCCTGCTGGGTGTCCCAAAGGGAGTCCTCACTGTGCGTGTCCTTTACCACATGATGGCCCCCCTGACTTGATGGCCACATGAACATCTTCGTTCTTGCTGCTGCCCCCAGGCTGGCACTGCTGAGGGAGGGGAAAGGTGGTGGCCCAGCTCTTACATAGTGGCCATGAGTGGCTGTAAGACCCACAGCAGCAACCCTGTACTGGGCACCCGGCACATGGCCCGGGTGGGAGTTACCGCTGGGTTCTGCAGGGAGACTGGGACTTGTGTTGGTCAGCAAGAGCTGACAGACACCTGGTCAGCCCCAGCACCATGGCTGACACTACGACGACGACGACGGCTGCTGCCTGCTCTAAAGGAGTTGACCATCCCCCTCAAACCTCAGGTCCTCCAAGATACCTGGTGCAGGTCCCCTGCAGTCCCTCAACCCCCTGTCCCTTCCTATCCCAATCTGCCACTATTGCCACAGTTTAGAGTCCTTCAGAGACCAGTGACTTGGGGCAGAAACACCCAGAGGTGGAGAGGGACCCACCCGAGGGCACACTGTGGGGCTATTCCGCCCTAGTTCCCAGCCCACCCCAGGCAGCTGCTCCAAGCCCTGAGTGGGTGGGGAGTGGGCGGACCCCTCTCCTCAGGGTCACCCCAGCCCTGCTGCTTTATGGGCTGTCTGGCTCTGAAAGCTGGCTGGACCCCGGAGGGAGGAGTAAGAGTTGCTGCCAGGCCATCACTTCCAGCGAGGCCAAAGCCCACGGTTAATGGGATCCAGGCCTCCCTCTGTCCTCTGGGCCAGATGCCTGGTCATATCCCCTCCCTGCCTCTGTCTGTCCTTCAGCTAGACACAGCCCCTCAGAGCCCCCCCCCCCCCGCAGCATCACACCTGATAGGCCCCTTTGGAAAAGGTGGCATTGGAAAAGGTCCTGGGAGGGGAGCCTAGAGAGGAGATGGGCATGGAGGGCACCCTGTCCTGGGGAGAGGGAGGAGAAGGTGCCGGCCCCCAGTGGGAGAGGAAAATGGACCCAATAAACAGCAGACACCTAGGCCTCTCCAGGGACATCTCAAAGTGTCCAGGGCCCATAGCCTCAGGGGGCACAGAGGGGATAAGTAACAACTGTCACAAACGCATCCCATCAAATCCTCTCACCACCAAGTCAGAAAGGTTGGGCCACCAGTCTGCACCTGAAACCTGGGGGCCTCACCTCCCCGCAGGGGCCCGCAGGAGCAGGGCTGGGTCACAAGTCACAGTACATCTCCACCTCGGTCCTCGGCACCCAGACTCCCGGGTGCTCCTGGCCCTGCTCAGGCCCCCAGACCGGGTGTGTCCTCGCTCCTCTCACCTGCCACCCCATCCGCAGCGATGGGACCCGGAGCTGGCTGCCTTCGCCAAAGCCTACGCCCAGAAGTGCGTGTGGGGCCACAACAAAGATCGCGGGCGGCGCGGCGAAAACCTGTTCGCCATCACGGACGAGGGCCTGGACCTGCCGCTGGCCGTGGAGGAGTGGCACCACGAGCGCGAGCACTACAACTTCAGCGCAGCCGTCTGCGCCACGGGCCAGATGTGCGGCCACTACACGCAGGTGCGCTTGCTGGCGGGGCGGGGCCAAGGGAGGGCGGGGCGGGGCCAAGGGAGGGCGGGGCGGGGCCAAGGGAGGGCGGGGCGGGGCCAAGGGAGGGCGGGGCGGGGCGGGGCGGGGCTCTAAGCAATCCTGCCATCCCCTAGCCTCCCACCTAGCCACAAACGCCCCCAGCGGGGCTCTTGGCTCACTGTTGCTTTATTTGAAGATAGGGTCTTGCTATGCAGTCTAGACTGGCCTTGCGCTCTTGCCAGTCTTCCTCCTCCAGCCTCCCACCACTAGGTTTAGAGGTGTGCACCACCACACTTGGTCGCTTGCTCCCTTCACATTCATCAGCTCTAACCTGCCAGAGACCTGTAACGCACACAGACGATCCTGTGCAATTTTTGCTTTAAGAACCTATAAGCCTGGTGCGGTGGTGCACGCTTGTAATTCCAGCACTCGGGAAATTGGGGCAGGTGGTTCACTGTGTGTTCGAGGCCAGCCCGGACTACATAAGCGAGTTCAAGGGCAGCCTAAACTACATATGGAGAGCCTGTCTTCAATACAAAACAAAGAAAAAACTATATGGGAGCAGACAGCTGGCCGCGGTGGCACTCCTGTCACCCAGCTGGCCGCGGTGACACTCCTGTCACCCAGCTGGCCGTGGCGGCACTCCTGTTACCCGAGCACTCGGGGAGGATAATGGCAGGAGAACTGTAACTGGCCCAGGCTGCGCTAGTTATCGACCTGAAAAAAGACCTGGAGCTGTACAGTGCGAAGGCCCTGGGCTTAACTCCCGGTACCATCAAACAAAACACCTAGAACAATAACACAGAAGAATATCAAAGCAACAACAAAACAAGGAAAGGAAAAATATGTATAAATGTCCCTGCCTGAAGGTTTCAGGGCTGTTCTGAGCGCTTCCTGCTCCTCAGGCCTCCGGCCTTATCACTGGGTTCTCCCAGCACTGTGAATGTTTGTAGATAGCAGGGTGTGGAAGGGAGGTCACTTTCCTGCTCATTTTTTCCTATCCTTCCCATTGTTGTACAAACAGTAACGGGGACAAAAGCAGCCAATCATCTTCCTGCCCACCCCGCCTCTCCCCCCTCCCCCTGCCCCCCAGGTTTTGTGCCTCTTCTGGGTGGTATTTTTAGTCACACTTCTAGGGAAGGGAACCCAAAGGCATCCGCCCATATCAGGAAGTTGCCGGTGGCAGCACCCACCTCTCTCGCGGCTCTGGAGCCCCCTGGAACTGCCCAAGCTCCGGGAGAGTCCCCAGCTCCACCTAGGCTTTCGCTGGCTGGGGCACCTGTACTGGGAGCTGCCTTCTCCCTGGAAGCTTATTTAAGCAGAAAGATTCCTGGCCCAGTAGAGCAAAGGGAAGCTGGTGGTCTTGCCTCAGGGCAGTATGCAAAGGTCTAAAGTGTATATTTCAAATAGACTTCATTCTACCTAAAAACAGACAGAGCAGGACCCTACGATGAGTTGCAGTGTGGGGAAAGGGCCACCCTGAAAATACCTCTTCCTCTTCTCTTCCTTGTACTTGAATTGTAGCTGATGTCTACCGATTAAGATCATCCCTTTGTAGGGTCCAGGGGAGATAGCTCAGTAGAATAAGCGCTTCTCTGGCAAGCGCAAGGGCCTGAGTTCAATCCCGGCTTCCGGAAGAAGAAGAAGAAAGAAGGAAGAAGGAAGAAGAAGAAGGAAGAAGAAGAAGGAAGAAGAAGAAGGAAGAAGAAGAAGGAAGAAGAAGGAAGAAGAAGAAGAAGAAGAAGAAGAAGAAGAAGAAGAAGAAGAAGAAGAAGAAGAAGAAGAAGAAGAAGAAGAAGAAGAAGATTTATCCCTTTGTATATGTCTGCCCGCCACCCACAGGAAACACACGAGGGTGTCTTACATGGCCAGAGCTGAGGGAAGGCTTAAAAAGGGTGAGGTCTGAGGACATGGCTTCATTTGGGAACAGAGGGCAGATCCTTAGGGGTAACCCCCGCACCCCGTTTAGTTTTGTGGACTTGGATCTCACAGGCTCGGGGACACCTCCATCCCTACCACTGGAGGCGGGGGCAAGGGAAGCAGGAAGGGGCGCGCCAGCTGTGGGCTAAGTGAGGGCCTTGCCCACTTCATCCAGGTGGTCTGGAGCAAGACTGAGAGGATCGGCTGCGGCTCCCACTTCTGTGAGACGCTGCAGGGAGTCGAGGAGACCAACATCCACCTGCTGGTGTGCAACTACGAGCCCCCGTAAGCGCTGGAAGACCCTGAGGGGGCTGCTCTGTAGGCACGGGCCAGAACCCCGGATGCTGAACGTGCTCTGCACATCCGGGTTAGATGCTGAGATGCAGGGCCACGGGCAGATGGAGGCGGGGGCAGGGCTGCAAGGACCGAAGCCCCCCAGCAGTGTTCTCTCCTCCTGCAGCGGGAACGTGAAAGGGCAGAGGCCCTATCTGGAAGGAAAGCCGTGCTCCCAGTGTCCCCTGGATTACAGCTGCGAGAATGCCCTGTGCGGTGAGCAAGGGGCCAGTGTGGGCGGGGCCAGATCACGGGGCGCGGCCTGACGGGGCGGAGTCAGCGCGAGCGGGTGCTGCGCTGATTGGCTGTGAAGCCTGGGACTGCCCGACGGCGCAGCCACCTGAGGGCCGTCGGAGGTCGTTTGCTCTCCGACCACAACCACCTGGCCACCCTCTCGCTCCACGGGACCACATTTCAAGCCCCATTTCAAGCCCTGGTCCCTTTAGAGGGCAGAGCCTAGACCAGAGTCTCGGAACCCCGCACACTGCGCGCCGGTGGGCGTGGCCAGGGTGGGAGGAGCCTCGCCGGTGGGCGTGGCCGGGTGGGAAGGCTGGAAGGTGGGAGGAGCCTCGCCTGTGGGCGTGGTCGGGTTCGAGGAGCTTGGGAAAAGGTGCAAGAACTCGTGCAGAGAAGCGTGGAGGAGGGGTGGTGGAGCAGTTGTCAGGGACCGCAAGCAGCCTTTCTTCCCAGAGAGGGAAATATGCGCTGCAGAGGCGAATGTGGGGGCAGCGGAGGGTGAGGGGAGCGGAGCCCCGTATCCAGCGCCAATGCCAGGCCTTGTCTATCTCATCAGAACCTGTCAGAGGCCCCGAAGAGGCGCAGGAATTGACCCCCCTGGTGACTGAGGGCCCATCCACCGTGGCGGATGAAGCCTTAGGCCCTGGCAAAACCAACACTCCTTCCCTAGCTACCGAAACACCTAGCTTCTCGGGGCGGGAGGTTTCAGGCTCCCTGGCAACGACGGCCCCGCCCACAGTGGGAACAAAGGCCCCATCTTCCTTAGGGAAGGAAGAGCCCGCCTCCATGGCAACAAAGGCCCCTCCTTCCCAAAACGCTGAGGTCCCTTCCATTTCGGCCACTGCCACACTTCTTTTCTCAGAGGAGGACCCAGGGCCCCTTCCCAGATCCACCCACCTTCCTGTTCTGAGAGCTGCCCACGACATAGCCAGCAAGACAAGCACGTCCCCCACAAGGCCAGAGAGTTCTCAGCATCCCACAGGGGAGCCTCAACCCCGTGCCCTGGAGGAGGTTGAGGCGGAGGTCAAGGTGCCCTCTTCCAGTGAGGTCTTGGCCTCCGTTTTGCCAGCCCGGGCCCAGCCAGGTGAGCCGCAGGCCACACTGGGGCACCCCAAGTCCCTGCCCAATTTCCCCAGTGACTCTGCCTCCGGCAATGCCATTGGTGGGCGCACCCTGGCCCTGCAGTCGTCCTTGCCAGGTAAGGCCCTAGACATGCAACCTTCCCTCCTGGTGCCAGACTGTCAGCGTCCTGCCCTGGCATAGGCTGTGCGAGCGAGCATGCGCCCTCCGAGTAGGTGCTTTGTGTCTGGCTGCTGCCACCCCTTGCATGGCAGAGGGAGGGTTTAGCAGGCATGGGTGTCTCCAGGTTGAGGCCAAGTCCCTCCTCCCCCCAGGTGCAGACGGCCCTGAGAAGCCTAGCAGGAAGCCTCCGAACAGCTCGGGGCACACATGGGCCCACTCCTCAGGACTACTGCTGCTGCCTCCTCTGCTGTGGGCTGGACTCCTCTGAAGGGACACCGCTCTGCTCTAGGCCTGGTGGGCCGACCCAGGCCTCCTGCCTGCTCTGGATTGTCTTTGTCTGATAAGAGGCCACAGCTTCCTGGGCAGGTCCTGCTCTGTGGTCTTGTCCTCCCAGGAGGCCCCTACAGGGCCAATCCCTGGTACCCCAGAAGTAACCTTTCTTCTGGAGAGGTCACTAGGCTGGTTGCAGGCTGTTGGGAGCAGCACCCTGGGGTGCCTAGTGTCCTGTGTTCAACCTCAGGCTCCCTCCAAGGCCCTGGCCCCTTCCTCCATTCATCAGGCCCAAGTCTGTCCCCAGTGCCTCCTGCCTTCCTGGGTGCAGAGGCCACAGCCCAGCCACCTTCTCCCCAACCATGTCCTGCCCCTCACACAAGAATCTCTTGGCTGAAGGCACTTGAAGAGCAAAGTTTGGGGCTCACAGCCTGGTTGGCTAATGGCTTGGACCTGGGCTCCCCTGACCCCCCCCCCACAACTGAGTCCTGGAGTGGGGGTTCTAGGTGGGGCTCCTTGACTGCCTGGCTTGGGGACAAGGCCCACAGGAGTGGGGTTCTAGGGAGGAGAGGGCAACAGCCTCAACTCCTAAATAAAGCCTGTCTGAGAGCTGGCAGTCTCATTGTGTGAGGCCACCCAGAGCCAAACTGTGTCCCACCCACGGGAGGCCTTCTTCAGCCTCCTTCATTCCAGTCACAGGCGGCCAAGGAAAAGCCAGGGACCTCCCAGGTCCCCCGTGGGGCTGCTGGGTTGAATGGAGTAGAACCCTTGGCACATGACCTTTTCACAGGGTGCTGATGCCCAAGGGCACCTGGAAGGGACCCTGAGACAGAACTGTTCTGAGCAGGGCTTTGCTAGCCCCTGGTGCTGGGATGCGCCATGTGTTTATTGCTTTCACTTAGCGTATTTTTTTATTTTACTTGTTTTTTAATGTATTTGGTTAAGAGGCTCACTGTGCAGATTGGACTCGTAGTTATCCTCCTCCGTGCTGGGTCTCTTTGGCGGCCAGCTCGGCACACCCGGGGCGGTGCTGGGGATCGAACCGCCCCGACCGCCTGTGTCCACTGAGCTATCTCATCAGCCCCTACTTAGTATACTGTTTTCAAGGTTCACCCATGCAGCATGCATGAGAACTCCCTGCTTTCTACCATCAGCTTGTATTTTATTCTGTGGAAGGTTACTGATTGATGAGACACTGGAGTTGTCTCCAGTCTTGACTTACTATCAACTAGGCACCTGTAAGCATTCCTTGCTGGTTTCTATACAAACACATTTTCAATTCACTTGAGAACACACCTGAGGGGGGAATTTCTGGATCGTACAGGAAGTTGAACTCCAGGAGGGACCATCAGAGTTTTCATTCTCACAGGAAGTACGTGGGGGGTTCATTTGTCTGTCTCCTCGCCAGTAGGGGGGGAGGTGGCTGAGCAGTAGGCATCAGCGCAGGTGTGAAGCCTGACTTCCCCACAGCTTCCAGTCACATTCGTTCTCACACCTAATGCCGGTACACCCCTTCCGTGGGCTTACTGGCTCCTGGAATATGCTGGAGACATGTCTGTTCACGTCTTGGGTATTTTCTCTTCATAATTCAGTTGTAGAAGTTCTGTATATATTTGAGATACAAGTCCCTTATCAGCTATAAGACTTGCAAATATTGGCTCCCATTCTCTGGCTTGTCTTCATTTTGTTTTATATCCTTTGAATATAAGTTTCCATTTTTAATTTTTTTTTCCTCCCCGGAACCAGGGATTGAACTCAGGCCCTTGCGCTTGCCAGGGAAGCACTTATTCCACTGAGCCATCTCCCCAGCCCCCCAAATTTTTTTTTTATTTTATTGGTACATAGAACATTCATCACTGGGAGTTTGTCTTTTTTCCAAGTCCCTCCCCTCCCTTCAACCTCTTTTCCCTTATTTACAAAAGCTTTGTTTTCATTTTTTCCTATTTTTTTCTTGTCTCTTTCCTCTATTGCCCTTCCCTTTTCCCCTTCTTATTTGAACAATTTCTTCCTACATCACAGTATCTAGTATACATTTTAGTCCTTATTTACACTTTTGGTTTTCCACGCCAGAATCCCAATGCAGCATTTCCACAGGTCTGATTTCACTTAAGAGCATAGTCTCAGGCCGGCGGGATAGCTCAGAGGACGAAGTGCCTGCTTTGGCAAGCGCAGGGACCAGGGTCCGCTCCCTAGTCCCGTATGCTGGGCTGGCCCCGCGCCCAGGCGCGCTGAGCCGGCCAAAACCCGGTGTGATGGTGCACGCCTGCAATTCCAGCGCTGGGGAGGCTGAAAACACGAAGATCAAAGAGGAGGATCACTACGAGTCCGAGGCTGGCTCAGTCCGCCTTAAGTGTGCGTCTGGGGCGCCATGTGGACTGAACCTTACTGCTGTAATCACTGTAGCTTACAGTGTAACTTCAAATGGCACCTGCTTGGGGTTGTTGGTAGGGAGTACTGGAAATCAAACTCAGGACCTTACACTTGCCAGGCTGGCACTCACTGAGCTATATGCCCGGCCTCTGCTTTGCTTTTGTTACCCAGGGTTGTTTTTGCTGTTCTGAGTCTCTTCTTTTACTTTTTCTTTTTTTCCCCTCGGGCTGGCTTAGGCTGCCTTGAGGGCAGGTGTGGTATGGCGTGTGGAGTTGAGGACTGAAGCACGGTCCCGCAAGCCCGACGGGGTTTGCCCATGCAGGCGCTTCAACTGAGCTACCCCGCAGCCCCCTCTCCAGCCCTTGGCACGATGCTTTTAATTCTTTCAGGAAGATACTCAGAGAACAACTGGGTCAAATGGAACCTCTAGTTTTAGTTTATTGAGGAATCACCACACTGATTTCCACGGTGGTTGTACCAGTCTCCACTCCCACCAGCAGTGGAGAAGGCTTCCTTCTTCCAGCTCCATCAGCATGTCACTGGTTGATTTTTTTTTCCAGTACTGGGGATTGAATTCAGGAAGCAAGTGCTTATTCTACTGAACTATCTCCCCAGCCCCTAGCACTACTTTTTTTTAAAAGACAGGGCTTACTATGTAATTGAGGTCTTGAATTCAAGGTGACCTTCCTGCCTCAGCCTCCTAAGGGCAGAGCCTACAAGCATGCACTGCCACATGGCTTGTCTGAGCATCTTTTGTTCTGAATTTTTTTTTTTTTTATTTTAGAGAAGGGTCTACAGGGTGTTCAGGGTCTCACTATTAGATTGGACTCATAGATTGATCTGCCTATTTACAGCCTCCCAAGAGCTGGGATTACTGGCATGTGCCACTATGCCCAGTCTAAACTGCCTTCTCAGCATGCCCCCAGGGCAGGGCCAGGAGTCAGCAGGGCAGGCCCAGGGATCAAATCCCTGGTCCCTGCAACTGCTTGCAGGCGCTTTAACCCTCTGCGCTATTTGGCCAGCCTCAGGATTACTCTTTACTGTCTTTTTACCCTTCTTGAAAAATCAGTTGAGCCTGAATGTATTTGTGGACTCTCAGCTCTACCCTATAATCTGAAAATCTTTTCTTACGCTACTGCACAATCTTGATTCCTGGATTTAAGTTGAAATTAGGAAATGTGGGGCCAGGGAGATGGCTCAGCAGAATAAGTGCTTCCCTGGCAAGCGCAAGGGCCCAAGTTCAATCCTGGGTTCCACCAAAAAAAAAAAAAAAAGAACAAGAAATTAGGATATGTGAGTCTACCCACTTCGTTCTTTTTCCAGCCTGTCTGGGCTAATTTTGGTCCACTGAATTTCAGGATCAGCTTGTCAAATTTCTCCCAAGCCAGCTGAGATTTTGATACAAATAATGTAATACACAGCATCAATCTTTACATTAAATCATCTATGCATGGTGTGTCTTACCACTTAGCTTTTTTTTTTTTTTTTTTTTTTTTTTTTTTTTTACTTTTTTTTTTTTTTTTTTTTTAGTTTCTTTTGACATTTTCAGGTTTTTTTGGCGGAACCGGGGATTGAACTCAGGCCCCTGCACTTGCCAGGCAAGCACTTATTCCACTGAGCCATCTCCCTGGCCCCAACATTTTCAGTTTTATAATTCCTTTGTTAAATTTTTTCCAAACTTTTATTTTTGGTGGTATTATAAATGAAAGTTTTATTAATTTCATTGTTCAATATATAGAGATAATGTATCAATCTTGTCTTCTGCAAGTATCCTTGCTGAATTACCAGGTATGTAACTTTTAGTAGATTCCTTAGGTTTTTCTATATACCAGATCATGTCCTCTACAGTTTTACCTCTTCCTTTCTAATCCACATTTTGTTGTTTTGTGGTATCGGGGACCAAACTTGGGACTTTGCACTTGCCAGGCAGGTACTTAAGCCACTGAGCTCACTAACACACATAGTTTTAATTCATTTTCTCACCTAACTGCCCTACTCCTAAACAAGGCTGGACAGAGGGGACCTGAGTGATGGATCTTAGCTTATCCTGACTGAGGAAGATTCTACTCTATATTGTACAGTCTGATCTTAATTTTGAGTTTTCCTAGTTGCTTTTTATCTGGCCGAGAAGGTTCCCCTCCACCCCTGGTTATGGAGGATGGCAACTCTTGTAAAGGCCTTCACTGTGTCTACTGAGATGACCACATGGCTCTGTGCTTTATTCTGGCAATGCATGACACCGGCTGATGTTCACCTTAGGACTGTTGCATTTCCGGGGAGCCCCTTCTCCTCTTGGGTGTGGGGGGCTGGCCAGGCACAGTGTAGCACTGCTGCCTGTTGGAAAGCAAGCACAACTGTCCACAGTCCTCAGGCCACTGTCACTGGGGAAAGCCTAAGATCAGGCCTAGGGACCTGGGAAAGTCCAGTGCTTGTGAAACACCAGAACACAGGGCATGGTGTCCCTGTGACAGTATGACAGATGGGCAGGGGACATCACACAGGCAGCCAGCATGGGAAAGGGTCTCCCCAGCACCATGTGCTTGGCTCTTGGGCACCTGTGAGATGGCACAGGGACAGGAACTGCAGGAGGGCCTAGCGTGGGCTAGCACTCCTGCCTCAGCCTGTCAGAGGCCTGCAGAAGGAAGCAGGAGGTGACTGGCTCTCCAGGGACAGTACTGCTCCTGTCACCCTTCCTTATGCTGACAGCCCTGCCCCAAGCCTATACCATCTTTTCTGTTGGATCAGAACCCCCCCATCTAGTACCCAGGATGGAGAACACCCCAAAGCAGGACCCCAGGGTGTCACTTGGGGTGAGCACAGGCAAGTGTCACCACAGCTCTGCTCCCCTGCCAGGCAGCCACTCCAGAATCTGGGGTCCTTGCTTTCTTAGAGGGGCTTCTAAGGGCCTGCTTCTTTCAGGCTCTAGAGGTACAACTTCCTGAATCTGGGGGCCGCAGGGAGTAATCAGTGCACGAAGAGGCTTCCAGGGGGAGCAACACAATTACTCCTGAAATAGCGATACAAATTTGGAGCTCTGTGAATTTGGAAGGGGATGGCATGGCCTCAGCCAGGGGAAAGCTCGTGGGCAGCGAAAGGCAATAGGCCATGAGACGGACCCTGTACTGGGGACCCAAGACCACATGCCCTGAAAGGTAGGGCCACTGAGGCCTGGCACACCCACCCTGACTTCAGTTGTCTGAAGTGACTGTCCTGAGACACAGCACTTGTACAGCACACTGTCAGGTTCCTGGGCATCAAAGAGCCCCAAGTGAAACTGCCCGTGGGCCAGCAGGCACTTGGCCACCAGAAGACCGTGCTGCAGAAGGGCCCCTGAAGCTACCTGAGGGGACGAGAAGCCCCACCTGCGAGGGACACACGGCCAAAGCTAACAGGGCCCTCTGCGAAGCCAGGGCAAAGAAACCTTTGGGGAACCCCAGCTGGACCTCAAAGCAGTGAGTTCTGTCTAAGACACCACCAGTGCTGGGCAGGAGCACATGAAGGGGGTCTGTAGCTTCAGGGGTAGACCTGTGGCCACTGCACCCACCACCTCCGGGACTGGTCACCTTCAACAGGTGCTGCAGAGGGTTTATACCTGGATGGGCCCCCAAAGCCGCCTGTGTTCATGGGTGGGGCTTCTGGAAGCTGGCTGGACTCTGGGGTTTCCTGCTGACCTGAGGTGGAGGCAGGGCCTGGTCAGAGAGATGGCCCTGCCCTGGGGCCTCCCAGCCCTTCCTGCTCTCTGCTTGATCCCCAGCGGGAGCAGCTCTCCTCTCCAGGCCCGTCTGCCCCGCCCTCCTGCCTGGGAGATGGTGGGCTGTGAATTGAAACATGGGCTCAAGTAACTCTCGGCCTTAAGTTCTGGGCGGCTCCCACTGCTGCCGTGGGAAGGGCTCTTCCGAGAGCCCTGCTGGCGCCAGGTCCCTGCGCGTGGCCACTCCAGCCCACGGCTGCCTGCCTGAGCCCCACCAATTGCCCACCGGCTAAGCTCACAGAGTGAGACCCGCCACCGAGATCCAAATCACCACTAATACATTTATTTGAGGGAAACAGGGTGCAGTCTTACCAGGAGCTTTTAAACTGGGGAGGACGAGAGACTGTGATCTGCCTAATTTGTGATTCACACAGATACACGGGTGACCGGCCCTACACAAGAGGCGTCACCATAAACGGACAAGTGTGGAAGAGGAGCACGTTCTGAGGGGTCACATGATTCCACTCAGAAGTGCTGTCCTATCAGAAAGTAGTGTTGAGACAAATGGAGGCAGAACCCGGTGTCCGCCTTTAGCAGGGGCCTGGCCATGGCACGGCCCCAGGAAGGGGATGACCCGGTTTACAAAGCAGCATGACACTCCCAACCGGCCGCAGGGGGACGGAGCCCGGCTGCCCACCCGGCCCCACAGCCTCTCTCTGGCCCCGGGCGGCCGGCAGGTGCAGGAAGGAAGGGGTCCCCACTCGACTTCACACCTACCCCGCCTTCTCCAGATCTAGCAGGGGGCCCGCCCGACCCCACACCTGGACAGACACGGGTGTGCACGCGGAGCCGGCTGGCTGGGCAGAGTGTGTGGAGGTGTTGGTGGGGTCAGGCCGGGCCTCTGAGGGTCAGGTGACTCAGGTTACTCCAGGGCAAAGCAGGACCCTGAGGACACTCGGCGGAAAAGCAGGCTGGAGCCCCGGAAGAGCTGGCCCTGGACGGGAGGAAAAGCAGTTGCTGGGAGGAGGCCCAAGCTTGCTGGGCAAAGCTGGTCTCTCCCATACCCATTCACCTCACACTTTTCAAATAAATTTTAACCCCTTTAAAAGAAAAAATTAAGTTCTTGGACTCTGCTACCTCCGCATGGGCCAACTGCCCTTATGCTTGAGTCTCATCAACACTCGGCCTGACATACAATTTTTATCTACTTAAGACACAGGGCCTTGCTATATTGTCCAGGCCGGAGTTCCTGCGCACAAATGATCCTCCCGCCTTAGCCTCATGTGTAGCTGGGACCACAGGTATGTGCCACCACGCCTGGCACGGACACATATTTTATTTTTTGCTTGGCTTTTCAGACAGTGTCTCACTGTGTAGGTAGTTCAGGCTGGCCTTGAACTCACTATATACAGCCCAGGCCTGGAATTTAGGGTGATACTCCTGCTTCAACCTCCCCACCAGCCTACAGCGCTGGGATTATAAGTGTGTGCCACCATGCCCAGCCTGCTGCATAATTTTAAAATCAACCTAGGCCTGGCCACCTCAAATCCTTCCTGGGTACAGGAAGGTGTAAACAAATGCCTTGAACCAAGGGCTGGACTCTTTATAACCACTGGGGCTGTCACGTGAGGCCAGAGACCTCTTAACTCCCAACCTGAGGAAGAGCGCGCGGCACGGTCCACCTGGGGATGTGGCAGTGTGTAGGCTCCTCCTGAGGGGTGCTTACCTGCACACTCAGGTACTTCCAGCAGTGGATCCAAGACTTGAACACTGGGGAGTACGGGGGGAGCCCAGCCTGCAGCCTGAGGGAGCAGAGCACGTGAGACCCTGTGGAATGGCTGGGAGCTGCACCTGCCCGCACCCAGACACCTGTTCACCCCAAGATGTGGTGGGAGGGGGCCCAGCTGGGGTGCCCCGCAGCGTGGGCAGGCCATAGAGGGGTGACACCTACCCGCAGTTGTTCACCGCCATGAGGTCGCCCACCAGCAGGAAGGGGTAGGTCAGCATGCTCACTGCAATCTGAAACATCGGCCCTGAGTGTAGGGTCTCCTCCAGGGCCCAGGCACCCCACCCCAACACGCCTCACCGGCCGCGCCCAGGCCCACCGAGGCCTCCACTTACCCCCATCACAAACTTGGTGTAGCTCCGGATGGCCAGGGCCTGGCTGAACTGAGGAGAGACGGGGGTCGTGGTTTGCTATGGCACTCGGGGCAGAGGGTCACCCACCCTCCACATGGCGCACGGCATCTTCCCACTCAGGGCCACCCACTGCTCAGGCAGAAGTAGGTGAACTGGGTGCCAGGGAGCCCGGTGATGGAACAGGGACCCGGAGGACTGAGGGCTCCCAGGGTGCAGTGCACACCTGCCTGACACTGTCTGTGGCTTGGCACAGGGACGGGCTCCTGAACAGAAGGACAGGCTCTTCCTTGGTGCCCAAAAAAGAGGCCACCAGGCTCCCACTTGGTGCCAAGCATCTACCTCTGTGTGAGGGACGACATCAAGGCCCCACTCCTGAGCTCAGCGCAGGTAACAGCTGTAAGCAGTAAGGCCACCACCTTCCCTGGCTTCTGTGGTGGCCACCCCATCTGAGGTGCCCAGGGCCAAGGGGCACCCAGAGGTCCACCCTTCTGTGTATAGCCGCTGGCTGGCGTGGGTGAGGCCAGCGCAGGCAGACAGCTGCACTGGACCCTGACCCGAAGGACCCTCTGCTCTGTGGGGACAGCAGCAGCTTACCACCCACAGCCCAGGAGAGAGCGGAGCCACAGGCCGCACGCAGTCCTCACAGCGAGGAGGCAGCGTCTCTCAGAGCCACCACCATGAAGCCACTAGCTCAGATGCCTCCCAAACCAGAGGCCAGCCAGGTCCCCGTGGGCAGAGGCTGTCCCTGGGACCACACACTTGTGCCCAGGTCCACCACACCCCAAGTCACCAACAGGTGCAGGTACTGAGACCCTGCCTTGAACAATGATGGCCCAGCCCAGGAGGCCACCCAGGACTGGCCTTCTGTGGCTCCCTGCCCTGTCCTGGTGCCTGGACGCTTTGTGCAGCCTCTGCCCAGGCCGAGCTGACACCACACAGTGTCAGGCCCCTCCAGCCCCCTGCGCAGCTCCACAGGCCAGAGACCTAGGCCGGGCTGCTGGCTCCTCCGAGGTGACTGTGGTCTCTGTGCCCGACGCCTGGTAGAGGGCCTCGCACCTGTCTGGGCGCCTGGGCAGGGCACCAGGCCCCGAGGACACGGTGTTCACAAAGGAACACTGCGGAGAGCATGAACTACAGCGCCAAGGCTGAGCGAGCCCAACTCTTGGCTGGTTTCTCCTTTCCTTTCACGGGCCCGACTTGGGCTTCGTTTCTAAAGCGTGCCTGGGCCTCTTCTCTTGCCCACAGCAGAGCTGCCTCGAGACAAACACCCGCGGGGAGGGAGCACCCCAGACCCTGGGCATCGGGAGTACACAGAAAGACAGACACATCCTTGTTCCAACCAACCTGGGAACCTGGATTCTGGTCGTTTCCCAGCCCCCCGGGGGAGTCACTCACGCTGTCATCCACCAGGTAGGCATTGATGAAGTGGGCCAGCAGGTTACAGCCCCACAAGAAAACCACGTCGCCAAGAAGGTGGGGGATTAAGCCACTACAAAACAAGTGAGTGGAGATGAGTGGCAGGGGGCAGCCAGCTTGCACATCAGGAGGCAGGAGCGGCCAGGGCCCAGGCCCTTTGGGTAGGCTACCAATGGGGCACACGGTTCCGAAGCCCAGAAGCCCAGCATCGAGCTCGGATGCTGCGGGGTGCGGCTCAGGAGGCTGCGCTTGCCTACCCCAAGCAAGGCCTGGCCTCCATCCCAGCACCAGAAAGTAAAAAAATAAAAAGCCGTGGCTCTTGCCACATCTGGTATGGCTTTCAGATGCAGACAGTGGCAGTGCCTTGGTAGCTTTTCCTGGCCTGTCCCTGTCACCAGCTCCCACAGGACTTGGCTCCACACAGCTCTTTACCTCTGGAATGGTCCATGGTGACACTCCACGAGAGCCCAGCCTACTCAGGGATGACCTTCGGGGACCCATAGGGCATCCCGGAGGGAAACTCCCTGGCCCAGCACTAAGGGAGAATGAGCAGTGGAATAAGCAGGTCCCCTGGTGCCACTGAGTCTTCTAACATGTGCTCTGCCTCTGGTCTCAGTGGTGTCCTTTGGAAAGTGGTGTATAAGACACGCGTGTCATGCTGCCGCTGTGGCTGTAAGGCTACCTGCAGAAATGGACAGGTGGCAAATGTGGCTCCCCGCCAAGTGCAACAGAAAGCACACCTGGTGTGCTAGGTAAAGGGCAGGCACGGGCGGGCACCAACAGGCCTGGCACCCCCAGGCTGCGCACCTTAGATTCAGGCCCTGGCTTCAACACCCGAACCCAGGAGAGCAGCTGAGGCAGAGACAGTATCTGGTTCATTGTAAGAATTTCAACAGGGGGCCAGCCAGATAGCTCAGAGGATTAAAGCACCTGCTTAGGCAGACGCAGGGACTGGGGGTTCGATTCCTGGTCTCCCATGGCAGCCCTGCCCCCAGGACATGCTGAGAGAGCAACTCAGACTGGGCGTGGTGGCTTGCGCCTGTAATCCCAGCGCTTGGCAGGCTAAAAACAGGAGGATCACTACGAGTCCAATCTGTGCAGCCCTGTTTTTTATTTCGAGACAGGCTCTTGCTGTATACCCTGTACTAAATACATTAAAAAAAAAAAAAAATAGAATTTCAACAAGTTCCACAAAAATTTTTTTTTAATGTTTATATATATATTTTTAAACATTTATTTATTTATTGTGTTTGTGTGTGTGTGTATGGCCAGCTCAGCCCACCAGGGGGCGGGGCTGGCTGGCATGTGCTGGGGGATCGAACTGCAGTCCCTGTGCTTTAGCCAAGCTTGTTCCAAGTAGGTGCTTCAGACCACTGAGCCATCTCGCCAGCCCACACAAAATGTTTTTGTTCTTGTTGTTGTGGGTTTCTTTGGTGTGGGGGAGTTGTCTTTTTGAGACAGGATCTCACTGTGCAGCTCTAGCTGGTCTCAAACGCACAAGGATCCTCCTGCCTTGGCCTCCCCGGTATTGGGATGACGTGTGCGCCACCACACCTGGCCAATGTTTTGGGTTTAAAAGATTAAAAAAAAATTTTAAAAAAATGTGTTTATGTGCTCATGAGGGCAGGGAGGCCTTGGGAGCCGCTCTTGGTGGATAATCTTGCCTGCTTTTCTGGAGGAGAAGCGGATGACGGCTCTTTAATTTTGTACTCTTTGTTGTTGTTGTTGCAGGCCTGGGAACCGAACCACAAGCTTTTTCACATTTAGTTACAGCCCCAGCCCTGTTTTTTATTTTTTATTTAATTTTTTTAAAATTTTATTTGTGGGTGTGTGGGTGTGTGTGGCCAGCTCAGCCCACCAGGGGGCGGGGCTGGCTGGCATGTGGTGCTGGGGGATTGAACCGCAGTCCCTGTGCTTTGCTAAGTTTGTTCTAAGTAGGTGCTTTAGACCACCGAGCCATCTCACCAGCCCTGTTTTTTATTTCGAGACAGGCTCTTGCTGCATTGCCCAGGTAAGGCTCAGCCTGAGGCTCTTCTACGTCAGCCTTGGCGGCCTGCTTGGACCACCCAGGGCGGGGTTGGCACAGCATGTGGTACCAGGGATTGAACCTGGGTCCCTGGACTTGCCTAGGCAGGTGCTTAGGCCACTGAGCTATTTCCATGGTCCTGGGCCTGAATTTTTTATTTATTTATTTATTTTTTTTGGCAGAACTGGGGATTGAACTCAGGCCCTTGCGCTTGCCAGAGAAGCGCTTATTCCACTGAGCCATCTCCCCGGCCCCCACCGGGGGGAGATATTTTTAAAAAATCTAAAATATTTGAGTTCAGAAAAAAGACCTAACGTATCTGTGTCATGAGGCATTCAACAAACCAACCTTTGGGGTGCACTCTCCAATCCTGCCGCCTCTTCCTGGGCCAGCTTCCTGGGCGCTGCAACCGTATTAGGTGTGTGACTATTCCAAATCAGAGCCTCTGCTGCTGGGGGTCCTAGTCACAGAGCGCCACCCCCTACCCCACCACATGACGAGCACTGCAGGAGACGACACACAGCAGGAGGCGACGCACAGTGTTTCAAGGTCTGAAGTATCAGGACAGCACCGCATTTGTGCATGTGCCTCTGTGTGTGTGTGTGTGTGTGTGTGTGTGTGTGTGTGTGTGTGTAGACATGCACACAGCCAGGGTGCCTCAACCTCGGCACTAGTGCCACTGGGGGCTCCACAGCTCTTTCTCATGGGACTGCTCCTGTGCTGTCCTACAGCAGCACAAGATGCCCCATTCACTGCTGATGTCCCTGGAGAGCAAAGTGGCATCCTGCTAGGAACAGCAAGGATCGGTGTGCACGTACATGCGGCCCTTATTTGCACAGATGTTTCTTGGTTAAACAGATTGTAAGTAAACCCATTTTGCAAACTGGAGAGCTGCCTTAGAAAGACCTGTTATAAGGGGCTGGGGAGATAGCTCAATGGAATAAGCGCTTCCCTGGCAAGCACAAGGGTCTGAGTTCAATCTCTGGTTCCGCAAAAAAAAAAAAGAAAGAAAGACCTGTTGGGGCCGGGGAGATGGCTCAGTAGGATAAGCTCTTGACTGGCAAACGCAAGGATCCGAGTTCAATCCCCAGTTCCGCCAAAAAAAAAAAAAAGAAAGCAAGCCCTGTTAATACAGAGGCGGCATCCGGGCTGCTGTGTCTGCGCTCAGCATCTGTGCACCACAGCCTGGACCTTAAAGAGCCAAAACCAAACCCCACCTGCTGACCCAGGCTCTGGGCTTTGTCTGTGCTTTACGCTTGCCCAGCAGGCTTCTCAGGGTGAGCTTTCTTTCAGACTGCACATGGGATTGCAGAGAGGCCTGGGGTTGGTGGTCACTGGACGGTGCCCTGCCATGGACACAGCCACCGGCCCCAGCTGGCAGCTGTTCCGCAGATGCAGAGACACAGGCCCAGGGGAAGCCAATTCTAACTTCCACAAGAGCCAGAAATACGGGTTTCTGCGTGACCTGTCTCCAATGTTCAATGTTAACTAATTTGTCAGGACAGAAAGCACTGGCTGAAGTCAGCCTAGAAGCTGCCAGCACGCAAGCCTCAGGCCAAGTCAGATTTCCGGTCCCTTCTGGCAGTGAAGCCAGGGACACTGAGGGCCCCTGGCTCACGAGGCCCGCGCTGTGTCCAGTGCAGCCCGGGCCAGGTGGACGGGGCCTAGTGGGACAGCCAGCTCACTGTGCCTGACAGTTTCTTTCCAGTTGAGCCTGACAGCTGAACGGGGCACTCATGCGGAGGCACATGTTTTAGCACTGCCGCAGCTCCGGCCCAGCCCTGTTTCATGTGAGCTGCAGCTCAGGCTGCGCAGCAGAGCGGGACGGAACCTTGGTTAGTGGAGGGCAGCAGCCACGGCCAAGAGGCAGAGGGCACTGTGAGCAAGCACGCCCACGCCACTGTGGGTGAATAACTCACGTACACGAAGAATCCCAGCAGCCCCTCCTCCTTGAAAATCTTCCCGATGGAGCTCAGCACACCACTGTGAAGGAGGCAAGACGGAGACCAGATCCCTGGTCACCGCAGATGCCCACCTACCACCTCCGCCCAGCCCCTGGCTGGGACTGGACAGGAGGTCCCAAGGATGGGAGAGAGCAAGTAAGAAGCAGGGAGGGAGGGAGGGAGGGAACCTGTCTGGGGAACGGTCCTTTCCTGCTATTCCGTGCTGAATACAGCTCCCACCGGGCCATTCTCCTGCCTGGCTCTGGGGCCCATCTCTGGTACCAGGACTCTCAGAGAGGGGTGCAGGCTCACCCCACCACAAGGGCAGGAAGGCGTAGCAACCAGTCCCCTTTCCAGGGCCAGAGCAGAAACCCAATTCCTCCAGCAGAAACCCTCCCCAGGAGGTTCTAGAGCCCAGAGCTGGGGCCACGGCAGCCTGCTAGAGATCAAAGGCAGGCTGGAGGGTCTCCAGAGACTACACAAAGCCCTGGCAAAGGGCCAGGCAGCAGGCCCCACCACCCCTGCCCGCCCCCAGGCCGTACGCTGGCTCACATTATATCTGGGGGAGCAAACCATTCCCACTAGCGAGCTTCCTAGGGTGGGAACCCCACAGATCAGAGCAGAAAATGGACCTGGGAGTGACCAGGATGGCCCTCGGCTACACAGAGCTCCAGGCTACGTAGATATAGCTGTCCTCAGGGACAGGCATGTAGTGTACAGCCAGCCGGGAGTCCCCAAACCCACAGTGAGGACAGCTCTCAGCAAAGGTCAGAAAGAGCTAGAATCCAGTTCCATAGCAGCTTAAAACACCACCACGTCAGAATTTGAGGAGCTCAGGAGGGCTAGGCAGAGCACCCCTTCCAGTGTCCGGACCCATAAGCCTCGCACACCCCACCTCAGCCCCTGCAAGCCCCTGGTGACAGCAGAAAGAATAGAAACCGCCCCAGACACAACCACAAGGCCACCATCACATTCCCGCAGTGCCGTGGCGTGGCAGGGCAGGCTGTCACAGACCCGGAAGAGAAGGAAGTGGCTGTCCTGGCGGGCGCTGGGTTCCAGGCTTACCCACCTGTACTTGGCCTCCCGTCCCACGAACTGAACCATGCAGCGCATTGAGATGACTGTGGAGAAAAAGGCACAGGGGTGACCAGCTGGCTGACACCGAAGACACACAGCCATGGCACCCAGTGCAGTCACCACTGCATAGTGTGGCCTGTTAGGGTACAGGGCAGCGGGCCCAACCCTGTCAACAGAGCACCTGCTCCTACCTGGAAAGGACCCCAGAACCCTCCCCAGCTCACCGTGCAGGGGGTGGGCCAGCATGCGTGACACACACTGCATCATCATCTCGTAGGACGTCTGGAAGACAGCAGGGGTCATTCATCAGCCTGAGGCAGGGGAGCCCAGGGTCCACAGCCCTCGGCAGGCTCGGCCTGCCCCAACCCACCCCAGCACTGCCAGTCTGAGGCTAGGCTCAGTGATGCCAAGGGGCTTTCTGGGCCTGGGTGTCCCAATGCAGCTCCCTCTGCACAGCACCCGCCCAGACAGACACAGACACAGACACAGACACAGACACAGACACAGACACAGACACACACACACACACACACACACACACACAGGGACTCCAACTCTGGGGGATGGACAGCTGGGACCACTGCCCTGCAAACACCCACCTCTTTCACTACTTTCCTCAGTGATGTCTTCATGTCGTCCTTGTTGGAAACCTGTTCAATCTCATCCGGGGGGAAAACCTTGACATGGGGAACAGAGGCCCCGGGTGGGTTCAGTCACACCACAGATGCCTCTAAGCATGTCCCTGCTGTGGCTGCTGGCTAGGCTACCTTGGGTCTCCCCCAGGCCTGGTGTCAGGGAGAAAGGAGGCCACCATACCGGGGAGGGACAGCTGGGCAGCAGGCAGGGATCTCCCAAGCTCCAGACTCAGGGTCTGGCCACCAGCGTCTGCAGCCACCCTGGCGCTGGGGCCCAGGGAGCAGGAAGCAGGGCTCAGGGCACCCAGAGCAGCCGTGCGGCGCCTGGAGTCCGAGCGAGCCAGGTTCTGCCTACTCACCTTCTTCATGCTACCCCGGGTCACAGTGGAGAGGGCGTTGGACATGAGGCGGGGGCTCAGGCCTCGGAACAGCCCAATCTTCCCATCCACTTGTACGATGTACTTGGCTGCCAGAAAGCAGAGGTGACAACGTCACACCCAGCCCCAGGGCACCAGAGCCGGGCCACATCCAGTCCAATCCCAGTGTCCCCTCACCCATTTCTCTTTGTAAAAGCTTTCCGACACACTTGTGACCAGCAAGCACTCCTACTCCCCTACTTTCTGGCTTTGAAAACTCTACTTGGTAAACCCAGCTATGGCTCTCAACTCTGCAGCATAAGAGCGGCAGTTCAAAGCAGCATATGAAGTGTTTCTCTTGGGTGGAAAAAGAGGGCACCGGTGACGACATCCCTGTAACCTCAAGAAGGGGGCAGAAGGGAAAGCGGCTGGAAGACACCCTGGGCCACATGGAAGGCATGATGGTCCCTTCCTCTCTGAGCTGCTGCGGCACACCACCTGGCACCTGCTGGCGCAGCTCACGAGGGAAAGCGAGTCTGCAGCGACTGCCCAGAGGCACCCAGCACCCCGCCCACATGGGCCAGAACTTCCTCCCCTACACCTTTTAAGGAGACTGCCTGGTGGCACATTCAATTCCCAGTACCAAAATTAATCAGTTAATTAGAAGGGCCGGGGAGATGGCTCAGTGGAATAAGCACTTCCCTGGCAAGTGCAAGGGCCTGAATTCAATCCCTGGTTCCGCCAAAAATAAACAAATAAATAAACAAAATTAATCAGTTAATTAAATTTTTAAAAGGAGGCTCTAAAATACATATACATTATATATATGTCATATATGTAGACAGATATAGATATAAATATAGATATATATGGCCAGGAGATGGCTCAGTAGAATAAGTGCTTCCCTGGCAAGTGCAAGGGCCTGAGTTCAAGCCCCAGTTCCACAAACAAAATAAAACAAATAAAAATAAAAAGGAGGCTCTCATGGTTCACTGTTGTCTTTCATGTCAGTTTTTAATCTCTCATTTATTTATTTATTTACTTACTTACTTACTATTTGATACGGGGTATTGCTACACAGCTCAGACTCAAAGTGATCCTCCTGTCTCAGCCTCCCTGGCAATGGGATTACAGGCATGAGCCACCACGCCTGGTTTCAGTGGTCAGAATGGTACACCAAGCTATCTCCGCAGCCCCAGGTGAGCTTTTAAAATCTGTCCTAAAAGATGGTATTGAGGCTCAGGGATACAGCTCAGCAGCACAACACCAGCCGGGCAAACACGGGGTCCTGAGTTCAATTTCCAGTACAAAAATAAATTAAATAAATAAATAAATAAAAGGCAATGTGGCTCTGTAAACCTGTGACCTTGGAAGACACTCTGGTCTCAGACCCCGTACCAGCTCCCTAGTGCCGCAAAGAGGCAGCGACCAGCATGGGCACTGCTTCCTCCTCAGTGCCCTATTGGAGGTCCCGCGATTCAGTGACACTGGGCGGGGCCTCCCATGGGGCTGGAGCACTTGTCATTGCACAAGTGGCTTCCTGAGGTGGGGATGTGCTGGAAAAGAGCAGCAGGAGGGCAGGGGAGGGGCCCTGGACACACACAGAAGCGGCCAGCGAAGGAAAGGCTGGCTCTGGGGAGCAGAGACCCTGGGCAGCGAAAGGGAGCTGCATGACGACAGCTGGCAAACAAAACTTGGCTCTTCCGGTCTGATCTGCCCATGTCTCCCCGCAGGAAACATCAGGACAGCCTAGCACAGTGGCCCGTGACTGTCATCCCAGCACTTGGGAGGCTGAGGCAGGAGACTGCTGCAAGCTGGAGACCAGCCTAGGCTATAGCGAGACCCTGTCTAAGATAAGATCCCAACAGCTGCAGTGGCCTCCACAGCACAGAGTGGGCAGCAGACACTGTCTCAAGCAGTGTCTAGAAGCACCCAATCATCTAGTGACATCTGGAGGAAGTAACACTTCTGCACACAGGGCAGGGCGGCTGCGGGCACTGTCTTTGTGGGTCTGGAGGTCAAGGGCGCTGGGCGCTTGGCAAAGGCAACGGCTGAGTGCCGGAGGGAGCGGACCGCTCCAGGCTCCAGGCATTCTCACACCAACCCAGGCAAGGTGGCTGGCAGATCTCACGTGACTCACACGCTAGGGTCCCCTCTCCACATGGGCATCGCTGCCCAGTAGAGGGGCCCTTTGACTCCCCTACACCGACTTCAAAACGAAGGTGCACTGCACTGATAAAGGTTCTACAATCTGAGGTACAGGATCTCAGGACAAATCCTGAGGGCATTTCATTGACCTTCTCAGACCAAAAAGCTACAACTCTGGTTGCACAGGTCCTGCTTTACCTTGGTCTTAACCATCCAGTAGAAAAGTATGAAGACGAAATATAGGAAGTAAAGCCATGCTGTTAAGTTGAGCTGTGGGGGACTCAGGTCAATAATTTCTGACATTGCCAGTTAAACAGAAGACCCAATGCTATTATGGGCTACTGGACTCTTTTAGAATATTTTGCTGAGTTTACACACCTACAATATTCAATAACGGAACTTAGAAAAATGGGGTATACCGATGAATGTCCATTTTGTATCTGTGTATTCAAAGAGGTTGGGATAGATATATAGTTGCATTCTCTTTTTTTTTTAATATTTTTTTAATATTTATTTATTTTTATTTATTACATTTATTTATTGTGTGCGTGTGGCCAGCTCAGCCCACCAGGGGGCGGGTCTGGCTGGCATGTGGTGCTGGGGATCGAACCGAGGTCCCTGTGCTTTAGCCAAGCTTGTTTCAAGTAGGTGCTTTAGACCACTGAGCCATCTCTCCAGCCCCAGTTGCATTCTCTTAATGAATAGAATGATTTGTTCTAATGGTGTTTGTAAAGAGGATCTCAAGTCCACATCTTGTACAGCAATTAACCACTAAGAAGAATATATGCAGTGTATTATTTGTTGAAACTGTACTTCTGGTTTGATTTGAAACTGTCTCATTGCTGTTTATCAATAAAACTTTGAAAAAAAAAAAAAAACCGAAGGTGCACACACTTTTCCCCACCAAGAGATACAAAGCTGCGCTCCGCCACAGGGCAGAAGGGAAGAGAAATTGCCAGACAGCGTGAGGAGGAAGTCACGTGCCTGGCCAGGACTGCCCCACAGGTGCAGGGGAGGGCTGAGGGTGGGACTTGGGGCTCATCTGGACCAGGCTTTGGCTCTGAGTGCAAAGGTGAGTAAAGGAGGCACCATCATGGTCATCAGGAAGAGTGGACACAGGAAAGGGACAGCTGTGCTGAGCCAGAAGGGGCCCCAGCCAGTTGGGACCTACAGGTGAGGGGGGGCTCCAGGATGGCCGTCCCAACAGGGCAGCGGCCAGGACGGGGACCTGACATGGACCTAGATGAGAGGCGCTGACCTGACCCTGCAGATGGGCATGCAGCAGGGAGAGATGGGCAGCCACCCGAGCTGCTAGGTGGAGACACAACAGTGACAACCAGGGGCAAGAGGCACAGAGCCAGGAGGCCCTCACCTGGGGCACAAAAGAAGGGAGCCCCTCGAGCCCGCCCCCTACTTCCAGGCATAATGTGGAGCCGTAGGATGCTAGCAATCAGGGTCCTGGACCCGGCCTTCTAAGAGGCACCTGGCACCTGCTCCCTTCTGCCACCCTGCGATCTCTGCCCCAGTTGTGCAGCAGGTCCCCAAGGTCCCACAGCCTCATCCCCCATCACTCACCATAAGTGAAGAAGCTCGGCAGGTAGAGGACCTTGCGCCCCAGCACATTGGTGCCCAGGGTGGGGGGCATCGGCTCATGACCCACCTTTGGGAGCAACAGGGACAAAGCAAGGTTCCTGGTGACGTGGGCCACCACACCACTCGTGCCCAGCCTCTACCTCCACTCCTCCCAACCTCATGCTATTCCTGTCCTCCATGCCAACGCCCCAGAAATGCCACTAGCATCTCCTGGGTTCCCGGCCTGGAGCCTGCCCACCCCCAGTACCCTTCCTCACATTCTGGCATAGAAGCCCCTAAGAAGCCCCCCCTTCTGAGTACTTCCCACACCATTCTTAACTTAGAACAAGTCTCATCTCCCACTGAAAACTTCGCCACAACCTAATCCCCAGTCTGCCAACACTTACTGTGCCCAGGTCACGGCACCACACCCGGCATCCCACGCTATCCTGGTGGGGCCCCCACTGTGGCCTCACCACTTGCCTGGCTTAGCCACTGTCTCCCACACATCCTCCACTCTCACCCTACCCAGACAAAGGGCCGCCATCAGCCTGCGGTGCTGCTGTAACTCCTGCCGCACCGAGCAGATCATAACCAGGTTTCTGTCCGCCCACACCCTCGGGAGAGCTCTGCAGAGGGTTGGGCATCTGGTGCACTGCCAACCTTTGCGGATGCCAGGCAGGTGGCAAGGTATGCAGGAGCCGGTGCCTGGGTGGGGAGTGAGCAGGCTGTCTGCCTCGGAGGGTAGCGGACAGGTTGGGACACCCAGCCTGAGGCGGGCTGCATGAGGTGCCTTGGCACACTCCCTGGGCTCAACTTCCTTTTCTTCTTGGCCTCAGACAAGTGGATTTGTCTTTAATCTCTGAGACAGGTGTTGCTCCATGGCTCAGGCTGGATCCCAAGCCAGGAGATCCTCCTGCCTCAGCCTGCTTTGCTTGCAGGCTTTTTATTGGTGGGGTGGGGGTGAAAGTTCAGGTCATCACTTGGATTCTGAGATATGTGACAGATTACTGACTATTCATCTTTTTTTGAGTCAGGGTCTCACTACCTAGTCCAGTCTGGCCTTGAACTCAGTGTCACTCAGGCTGGCCTCAAATTCACAGTGATGTTCCTGCTTCACCCTCCCAAATGCTGGGATTACAGGCATGCACCAGCACACCTGGCTTGATTTTACAAATTTTAAAGCCCTGTTGTTATGAAGACTAATATATATATATATCAGTCCAGGAGAGCTGAACAAAGAACGTAGAGGCGTGAGACGCCTCACAGCCACCCTCCCTATCAGGCCTTTCCCTTTTGGTGGCATTTAGATTCCATCCTCTGAAGTACAGGTCCTGTTCTCCACCCCAGGGGCCCCCAAGTCTCCCCCAGTCCACTCACTGTAATGTTGGGTCTCACTGATGCCAACATCACCTAAGCCTGTGTCCTTCTGACCCACACCCCACAGCTCCCAAATCTGAGTGTACTTCCCAAAATTCTACTTGGTTCAGCAAAGGCTCCCTTGCCAGACTGTACCCCTGCCCTCTCCTCTCGGTGTCTCTGGGATCCGGTGTCCTTGTCATCTGATAACAGGGTCCTCTCCATGCCAGCACCGAGGCCTGTGACACACTCTTGAGGAGCCAGATACCAACTTCACCTCTGAGACACTGCGCTGTCACAGAATCCACATGACCCCAAATCCAACACTAGCTCCTGCTCCCCAAAACAGCATTTGCCTTTTGCAAAACGTGCTCCAAGGTCAGGCATGGTGGCCCATGCCCATAATCCCAGCACTCAGAAGGCTGAGGCAGGAGGATCCTTGTGAGTTTGAGACCAGTCTGAGCTACAAAGTGAGCTCAAGGCCAGCCTGAACTGCACAGTGAGACCCTGTCTCAAAAAGACAAAAAGAAACAATCAAAAAAATCCATTACTGGGGCAGGAGAGATAGCTCAGTAGAATATGCACTTGCCTGGCAAGCGCAAGGGCCTGAGTTGAATCCCCAGTTCCACAAAAAAAAAAAAAAAAAAAAAAAAAAAAAAAATCCATTGCTCCAACCCCAGCTACCCCTGTTAAGCTCTCACCCCAACAGGGCTCTCCCACTTCCACCTGCCCCCCACCAACTAGTTCTCATCCTGAGGGCTCCCTCATCCAATTCTTTCTCCAAAGCACATTATTTCAATTGCCTTTTCAAACCTGTCAACCAAATCAACTGCTGCCCAGTGGCACCGCTACTCGCTGGCATTTCCTTCCCGCGGAGCCCACCAACACCTCCCCCACCTGCCACCCTAAACCCCCAGATTCTCACCAACCTTAGCCCCTAGAACCTCTCACTGCTCCATTCAGACTCCAGCAAAGCACCAACTGCTCTCCAACCCCGTGACCTTGACGCTGTCAGCCCCAAGCCTGTCGGGAGAGCAGCCCTCCTCCTAGACTGCAACCAAGCGCTGGCCTGGTCCGCACCCTCCTCATGGGCCATTTCCAAGCCCCCAAACCTCAGCTGGGGCTCTGGTCAGGCACCTCCACGTCCCACTGCAGCTCACTGTTCTGTCCCATTTCTGGTCACACTCAAACACCTACTTATGACCTCCACTCCTGACCCCAGTCTGAGTTCCACCCCTTCTTCCAGCCCTCTCTTACCCACTCCACGTGGCACGCTCTGTATTCAATTCCAAGCACAGGGGAACCTGACAACCACTTGTCTTAAAACAAAACTCCAACCTCCAGCTCTGTTGACTTCCCACCCTCCACTCTTCTAAACTGGAAATTTCTACCCTACATGTTCAGATATGAGCCCCACACTCAACCATGCTCATTCTAACTCTGCCTTCCTGGCTGGCAACCACCTCAGTGTTGCGCAGGCAGGCAGGCAGGCAGG